CAGGAATCTCTCCTCTGGAGACATGACCTGATTTTCCTCCCCCAAACTTCTAGCTGTCTCAACCTTCAGAACCTCATTTCTTTTATCTTCATTTAGGGTCTTTGTAGGGTTAAAAGTGTTGGTTGGAGGCATTTATCATCCTTCAGGGTTTAAAAGTGCTAGCTGGGGGCTGGGTGCAGAGGCTCACATCTGTAATCCCAACATTTTTGGAGGATTGCTTGAGGCCAGAGGTTAGACTAGTTTCAGCAAGAGCCAAGAATGAGACCATCGCTACAAAAAAATTGAAACATGAACTTGATGTACTGGTGTGCCCATAGCCCTGGCTGCTCAGGAGCTAAAGCAGTGAGCTGTACTCTAACCTGGGTGACAGCAAGAACCTGTCTCAAAAATTAAAATAAACAAAAGTGGACTGGACATGGGGGCTCATGCCTATAATCCCAGCACTCTGGGAGATGTAGGTGAGAAGATCACTTGAGATCAGGAGTTTGAGACCAGCCTGAGCAAGAGCAAGACCCCCATCTCTACAAAAAAAAATATAGAGGCAGAGCACAGTGGTTCACACTTGTAATCCCAGCACTCTGGGAGGCCAAGGCAGGAAGATCCCTTGAGCTCAAGAGTTCAAGACCAACCTGAACAAGAGAGTGACCCCATCTCTGCTAAACATGGAAAAAATTAGCCAGGCCTTGTATCCGGCACCTATAGTCCCAGCTCCTCCAGAGGCTGAAGCAGGAGGATCACTTGAGCCCAGGAGTCTGAAGTTGCTGTGAGCTAGGCTGACGCCATGGCACTCTAGCCACAATAGTAGAGTGAGACTCTGTCTCAAAGAACAAAAGTGCTGGGTAGCAAAGTCTTTTGTTTATCAAACATGCCCCTGCCACCCAACATACTTAACAGTCATTTCTAGAAGTGACAACATAACTAAGTAAAGAAAACATAGGATTTAGATCCAGAAGGACCTGGGATTACTACATGCCCCTAAGTGAGTTATTTGACCTACCAGCCTTCCTCATTTATAGAATAAGACTGTTAGCATTTACCTAGGAAGATTATTGAGAAGATTAAATGAGATAATTTAGTAAAGCCCTTGGAACAGTGCCAAACACATATATTCTCAGTGTAAATGCCCTTCTTTCTTTCCTTCCTTCCTTCCTTTTTTGAGACAGAATCTCAGTCTTTCACCCTGGGTACAGTGTCTTGGCGTTATCATAACTCACAGCAACCTCAAATTCTTGGGCTGAAGTGATCCTCTTGCCTTAGTCTCTCAAGAAGTAGAGATTATAGGTACCCATCTCAATGTTTGACTAGTTTTCTTAATTTTACTAGAGATAGGGTATCACTCTTGTTCAGGAGGGGGTCTTAAACTCCTGAGCTCAGGCTATCCATCCACCTTCACCTCCCAGAATACTATGATGTAGGCGTGAGCCACCCTGCCTAGCCAATGCCCTTATTTTTAAAGAATTATTTGTAGGCTCGGCACCTGTGGCTAAAGTGGCTAAGGCACCAGCCACATACACTGGAGCTGGCAGGTTCGAATTCAACCCAGGCCCACCAAACAACAATGACAGCTGCAACCAAAAAAAAAAAAAATAGCCTGGCATTGTGGCGGGGGCCTGTAGTCCCAGCTACCTGGGAGGCAGAGGCAGGAAAATCGCTTGAGCCCAGGAGCTGGAGGTTGCTGCGAGCTGTGATGCCATGGCACTCTACCCAGGGCACCAGCTTGAGGCTCAGTCTCTAAAAAAAAAGAATTATTTGGGGCAGCACCTATGGCTCAAAGGAGTAGGGCGCCAGCCCCATATGCCTGAGGTGGAGGGTTCAAATCCAGCCCCAGCCAAAAACTGCAAAAAAATAAAAAGGAATTATTTGTAGTAATAAAGGAAATGTCCTTATACCTAGAGTAGAATTTCTATGAATGGCAAAGCTTAGAGCATCCCAAACAGCCTTGAATTGTCCCCAGACAGGCTTCTGAATCAGGCATGCAGCTTCAGTGTGGCTTCAAAGATGCTCATTTCCATTTCCTCTGCAGGTGCTGATTGCCAGTGGTTAGACACTCTGAGGATGCGGCAGCTTGCATCCCACACTTCTTTACAGCGTTCCCAGAGCAATCCCATTCTGGGCTCATCATACTTCCCATACTTTGATGACCAGGATTCCTATGCTGCTGCTGTGAGGCGGACCCAGGCGCCCATTAAGTATCAACAGATCACACCTATAAACCAGTCCAGAAGCTCCTCTCCCACTCAGTATGGACTGGCCAAAAACTTCTCTTCTCTGCATCTCAACTCCAGGGACAATAGCCTTTCCAGTGTTAATACTGACAGCTCTTCAGAGAGGGGCCGCTACTCAGACAGGAGCAGGAACAAATATGATCGTGGTAGTGTGTCACTCAATTCTTCTCCGAGAGGCAGATACAGTGGAAAAAGTCAGCATTCCACTCCTTCCAGAGAAAGATATTCTGGAAAGTTCTACTGGGTTTCTCCGTCAGCACTCAATACTCACCAGTCACCTGACTTTAAGAGAAGCCCAAATGACCGCCACCAACCCAGGACCATACCAGGGATGCCTTTGCACACTGAGACTGACTCCAGAGCCAGTGAAGAGGAGAACAGAGGGAGCGAAGGGGGATGGACCAAAGTGGAATACCGGAAAAAGCCCCACCGGCCCTCCCCTGCCAAGACTAGCAAAGAAAGAGCCAGAGGGAACTACCGTGGTCGGAGAAACTTTTGACAAATTTGACTACATGCATTTTTCTAGCAGGGTTTTGGTTTTTTTTTTTTTTATTTTAATATAACAGATTTTGACAATATGGTGCCTTCAGATTGAATTAACAAAAGCTCTTCTGCATAGGGTGGCTATTAGGAAGTATTTTCTGATTGAAACCACAGTCAAACCAGGGCCCAAATTATGGATGTTGATTGTTCATTGACAGTAACTAGACTTGGGAATAACTACACATATTTTTCTCCCCAAGTTAACTTTTTTCCCCATAAAGGCAGGGTCTGACTCTGTAACCCAGGCTGGAGTGCAGTGCCATAATCATAGCTCACAGTAGCCTTGAACTCTTGGGTTCAAGTGACCCTCCCACCTCAGCCTCCTGATTAGCTGAGTCTACAGGCACACACCACCATGCCTGGCTAATTTTTTTTTTAGTAGAGATGAAATCTGACCATATTGCCCAGGTTAGTCTCAGATTTCTGGGCTCAAGTGATTCTCCTGCCTCGACCTCCCAAAGCACTGGGATTACGGGCATGAACTACTGTGCCTAGCCTGAGTTAATTTTAGAGGAGGTGTCATATTATCTTTTAACCTAACAACTTGCTTTACCCTGAGCAGGGCCAGGACTGAGGTAAGGCACACGAAGTGAACAACAGCAACAGCAACAACAAATCAAAACTCTAGGTAAAGACAGGATCAGTATTACTGATTTCTCTTTTTTTTTTTTTTTTTTGGTCACATTGGGTAGGGTGCAGTGGGGTCATCATAGCTCACTGCAACCTCAGACGCTTGGGCTCAAGCAATCCTCTTGCTTCAGCCTCCTGAGTAGCAGGAATACAGGTGCCCACTACCACACCCCACTAGTTTTTTGTCTATTTTTAGTAGAGACAGGGCCTTGCTCTTGCTCAGGCTGATCTCAAACTCCTGAGCTCAAGGATTCCTCTTGCCTCAGCTTCCCAGAGTGCAGGGACTACAGCCATGAGCCATCGAGCCAGGCCTGATTTTTCCTTTCCTCTCAGCCTCCAGTAGGGTTGGGCAAGGCACTGTTACTGATCCTGTCTTTATTTAAAATGTTGAGGTCAGATGCCAGGAGTTTGAGAAGAGCCCAAGCAACACCACAGGACCCCTTGTCTATTCAAAATAAATAAATAATATAAAATGTTGACATTTTGTTCTTCATAAATGTTTTTATATTAGTATTCCTTTTTAAGATTTAAATATCATTTATCTGAGTTTGGGGTGTGGGTTTTCTTTTTGATGCCCCCTTTAATTTTGTGCCCAAGGCGAGTGCTTCATTCATCTCCTCCTTGTCTTAGCCCTGCTGGTTAGTATTTATTTTAGTAAGGTATTTGTGTTTTTATCATGGTCAGTGTTGAACTGATTTGGCTTGTCGTTTTTAGGCAATTAAAAAGGTGTCTGAACTTAATGCTTGTTATACTGCATATCACATTCATTAAGATTCGTCTGAAACCAAAGATCTAAATTGCCTAGATTTGTGGTTGTTTCTCTCCCTAATCTCCCAGGACTGCTTTTGAATATTATATTCTACATTTTACCAAAGAAGGAGCAAAGAGGGGAGAACGACAGTCTATAAATTCCTCTTGGGATGTCATAAATCTAAAAGAAAACAGACACAGAGCAAGACAGAACTGTCACGAGCTAAAAGCCAGAGAAATTGAAAATCACCAACATCCTTGTTGGAGCAAGACATTAAATAGCGGGCTTGCAGCAAGACAGCTCTCAGCAGCTGGGGGTGGAAGGAGGCTGCTTGCCACTTACGGCAGAAGAATGCAGAATTCAACCCCTATTTTACAAATCGGAAAGTCAGGTGCCAACAAATGTATGAAAGGGCAAATAATACTCTGAGGTTCTGTTCAGCATTCGCTAACCCTGAATATCAAGTGTGCACGGCCCTGCACAGTGTTCTGGATGCTCTGGAGAAATGACACAGGGGAGATTCTGTGGGGTTGAGTTCTCTTTTACTAGAGACCAGTCATCATGCTATGTCCCTATGTTCCGATACGAGTAGCTGTCCTGCCCTTCGACATTACTCCCAGGCTGGTGGGGAAAACTGTAGTTGGGTAGCATTCAAGTCAAGGTTATAGGAGATGACCTTTATTTACAAGGGAAGCTGTGATGACCTACACACTATTCAACAACTTGATGTTATACAAGTTTTATTGTGTGCCTTCTGCGTTTATAGGTGAAGGCAGTGGGCGTGGCGTAATCAGTTACCTAAGTGCTCTTTCATCATGTATAACCAGCTTCTAAGGTTTTAAGCTCCTCTGTGATCCTTTCTCATGAAGTTTATATCAACCCCAGTCTGTTTTTAATTATTTTTCTCATTTGTCCTTTGTTTAAACTTAAAGAAAGGTAGACTAATACAAAGTATGCTAGCCTAATAATCATGCTGTTTCCAAAAAAGCAGTAAAATATATTCTTTGATTAGAATTTTTGGATAAGTAGCTGAACACAGTTGTGACTGAGTCATTCTGAAAGAAACACAAAATATGGCCTTGATTAATACACAAAATGTTCATTCTAGGGAATTATCGTAGACTCCAGTTTAAAAGGTGCTATGCAAATGATGACTAGTTACATGCTGTTTTTTTCCATCTTGCATTCTTGGGTTTATGGGTTAGAAAAATCCAAGCTGGTAATAAAATGACTCGGGTACCTATCTCAGCCCTATTTAGTGAAGCCAGTGACCACAGAGAGGTTATTCCATCAGCCCATAAAACTGATCATTTTGCAGTATCTTCTGAAAAATACTTGTCAGCGTCAGGGCTCCCAGCAAAATCAAAGCAAGAACATCTGCAGTGTGCTTTGTGAATGTAAACAAATGATAAGAGTTGGATGTTCCTTTTTCTTTTCTAATGATGCTTATTCGCCAAAAGTTACTTGCCAGGTTGAAAGATGAATGTAAGTCAGGAACAAAGCAAGGGTTATCAAGACTTTTTTCTCCTTCAAAATAAATCAGTTGCCAACAATGAGGAACTGTGTTAGTTTCAAGAGGCTGAGGTTAAGACCAAAAGAACAAACACACAAACAAAAGAAAGTATATTTTACAAGAAAAAAATTGTAGTAGAAACAAATCAAGAGAGTACATCTTGGACTGGGCACCTCTAAATGTGGGGATTTGATGGTCCCTAAACGGGCTTCAGAGCAAGTCTGGAACTGCCAGATCTATGTTGCTATCATAGAGGCAGTCATTATTCCAGGCACAGCCCAGACAAAGCAGGATGTTTTGCTCTTTGTACAACATCACTGGCTTAGCAACACAATAGATTTAGCCTCAGTAATGAAATAATCCCAAACTGTGTAAGTGCACTAGGAATTTTTTCTTATCAAGACCTACTTCAGAAATAAGTATAAATTATCGATTACTTTTCTTTTTTTTGAGACAGAGCCTCAAGCTGTCCCCCTAGGTAGAGTGCTGTGACATCACAGCTCACAGCAACCTCCAACTCCTGGGCTCAAGTGAATCTCCTGCCTCTGCCTCCCAAGTAGCTGGGACCACAGGC